GCCACAGGCGGGGGGAGGGGGGGACGCGGCGCATGAGCAGGATGGGAGTGGAGGGGCAAGAGACGAACTTGTAGGCGCAGATTGGAAAAGGACAGACTCGTCTGTTGGCAAGACAACGGACGGGCGTGTTGAGTTACCACAGCTGAGCCTTCCGGGGGCCTGATGTCCAGGGTTACCATGGGATGCAACTCGGTCTTGGGAACCGCCTCACACACCTCGCAAGACCTGGTTCATGGAACCAAGGCTGCATGCGCAGCCTTGCAATAAGTTTTTCCAGGGGGACGCCCCATCATGGCCGCCAGATGCCCCGAATGGCGGGCGCCGCCCACACTGATGCATATTCCGCATTGGCGCCGCCGCGCTGCAAGACCGCGCGCCGACAGCCCATCCGCGCGCCATTTGTGCGCGCCGAATTGTAACATGGAGAACTGGTGATGACATGTGTTTCCCTGTGCACACGCTGTCACCCTCTGCCTGCTGCATCCCCTATCAACAGGGGGCTAAAAATTGGGATGCAGTCGCGAACGCACGGCAGGAGGGCATGCTGCAATCCGCCGAGGCATGCCCTTATGCGTTGAGGCCAGCTCTCCCCGAGCCAGCACCCTATAGCGGCGCGAGCCCGGCTAATGAGTGCGGCTGTGCAGTGACGAGGTATTGCGGGCAGCAGGCCGTTTGCACACCGGAAGGTGCCTGGTGCAACCTCGCATGCCTGGCTGGCTTCATATCGCCTTGATGGCTGTGCTGGGGCAGGCCTGGTGGTTTTCAGGGCAGCTACGGCCTCTGGGTGCGGCAAAGCATGAACATGAGTGTGATGCTCACAGTCGATAAGCGCCCGGCAGTACAAGCAGCGTCATTTGGGCAGGCTGCCCCCTCCATCCGTCATAAACACACATAATATGTTCAAGAGCTTATGGCAGAGCCGCCCACACTTTCGATCCCAAAGAACACACTTTTGTCGTCGGCCGCTTCTCGGCACCCCGCGGTCCAGGTGCCTAGCGTGTGGGTTTCCAACAGCGCAAGCACTCTGTTTTCGTCCTACCACATTGAACAACGATCAAACCACGTGCAACATATCCACATCAACGTCCGTCTTGCGGTTGATCTCCGTGCAGCAGCTGCTAGAGTGTGTCTTATCTGGTGGAATAGGTGCTACAGGTAGACGTCGTGCGTGTGCTATTCTCGAACTCCTGAAGGGGAGCGGATGTGGTCGCAAGGAACCGGTTCAGCCCGGCGTCCACGTTGAATGGGGCCGGTGGATGGATGGTTCGCTGCGGTAATCTGCATCTAGATGTCCTTGTTTGCAATGCGAATGGGCTTACAGCCCCCGGGCGCCGCGCCTAGCACACACCCCAGTGCTCAACCGCCCTGTCGCGCCGCGCTGCCGCGCTGCTGCATCCGCCCGGGCGTCCCACCAGGGCGTAAATTTGAAGCAGCGCGCTCTCATCAGCAGCGGCAGCATGCCGCCGGTGGAGCAGCCCCAGGCCAGGGCGGCCGGGCTGCTTCCCTCCCGGAGCGGCGACCTTGACAATGGGGCAGGCGCACACGCCATGGACGCCCTCTTTGCCCAGCCGGCGGCCGAGCGCACCGGCATGCACACACGCACGCTCTCCTTCTCAGAGCTGCAGAGGTGCGGCGGGCGCGTGCGATGTAACGCACTTGCGCCGCTGCAGCCGTCGCAGCCGGCACGGGCACCTGCGCTGGGGCGACGGGCCTGCACGTTGAAGTGGCGGCAGCTGCGGGCGAGCAGCTTGTGACAGACCTTAACGGGGACAGCTTGGCCATGCACCTGCCTGCCATGCAGCCGCATGCAACATGCCACCACCCGCATGCACCTCCCACCCATCCTGCTGCCTCATGGCCAGCCGCACCCGCCTCACCGTGGCCGCGCCCGACCCCGCCGCCGTCCCCTCCCGCAGCGCGGGCGCCAACCCCCAGCGCCGCGGCCTGCCGAAGCGCGCCCCCAGCCTGACTAAGTTGGTTGATGATCTGGTGGATGAGCTGGGGGGCGACAGGTCAATAAACAGGTGCGCCGCGCCCCCGCCCACGCCGTTGTTAAATGTTCAGCGGCGGCCCTGAGGAAAATTTCAGGAAGCGTGCTGTCGCTCAGAGGTGGGGGCTGGAGGCGACCTCCTCTGCAAGGAGAATAGCACAGCCGGCGCGGGTGCGAAACGCAGACGCCGCCGCCCCGGTGCCCGCTGCCATGCGCCGCAGCGTGCTGGTGGCGAACAACGGCTTGGGCGCGGTCAAGTTCATGCGCAGCATCCGGTCGTGGGCCAACCAGACATTTGGCAACAGCCGCACGATCGCGCTGGTGGCGATGGCGACGCCTGAGGACATCCGCATCAACGCGGAGCACGTCACGCTGGCCGACCAGTTCGTGGAGGTGCGGCGCATGGTCCGCCCTCTCCCGCGCCCGAGGGCACCGCGCCTGAGGGCAGTGCGCCCCGGCGGCTGCACCTCCGCGGCCGCTCGGGGCGGCAGCCGGAGGCGACAAACGCCTTCGCCGACCACCGCTCCTTCGCCACCGCTCCCACCCTTGCCCATGCGCCCAACCCGCCTTTCTTGCGCCCCCAGGTGCCCGGCGGCACCAACAATAACAACTACGCGAATGTGAAGCTGATCGTGCAGGTGGCGGAGCGCGCGGGCGTCGAC